CAGTGGATAGAGCGTCGGCCTGTGGATTGAGGGGTCCCAGGTTCGATTCCGGTCAAGGGCATGTACCTGGGTTGAGGGCACATCCCCAGTGGGAGATGTGCAGGAGGCAGCTGATCGATGTTTCTCTCTCATCGATGTTTCTAGCTCCCTGTCTCTCTCCCTTCCTCTCTGTAAAAAATCAATAAAATATATTTAAAAAAAAAAAGAAATTATAATTCCAACTGGCAGACCCACCACACTGAAGGCTGGGCAGGCCCCCCAGCACCACCCCCCCATCCCCACCCTCACCCCACCCGCCCATGGCCTGGCTGGAGTATGTGTAAGGGACGCAAGCTAATCATCAGGAGGGGACATGCGCTGCTTTGAAAAGAAAAGAGTAAAACTAAGTCACAGAACACTGTGTTGTAATGGAAATAGAGAAACAGCCTTGAATTAATACGGATATGTAAGAGCTTATCTTGTTTGTTTTTTTAAATGTAGAAAGTGTGTGTTAGGGATGTTCAAGCAATTCCACACCCTCTGTTTAAACTGGAGGATGCGGAGCATAGTTCTAACAAAATTATACCAATAATACGTCAGTAGGGGAAGCCAGGGCTGCTGCATTGTGACTTTGTGAACTAGGCACTTTTGCCTTCACTGGCCCCTTCCTCCACTAAGGAAAAAATAAAAGAAAAGATATCAATATACCAACATATGAATTATATTTCCAACTGTACTGGTAAAAAGATGAACACATTAATATTCTGAATGAAAACATTTTCTTTGACCTAAAGTGTATTTTTTCTTCTCATTTTATAAGAAGTTAGGATAGTGTTGGGCCTGTGAAAGCACTGTGGACCCTGCGCTTTCTGCCTCTAGGTAAGTGGGCCGTGGGAGGCCGAGACCCACAGAGAGGGGAGAGCCCTACGCGGTCCAGGGGACCCTCCTCCCCTCGGCCACAGGTAGCACAGCTACAGCCTGATTCTCAGAGACTCTGAGGGGCCTTCTGTGAGCAGGCGCAGCAGAGTCATCCCAGAAGGGCCACCTGAGCCTGACTATGGCCCTCGGGGAACGCCCAGCGGAGGAGGGAGGAGACCAGACACATCACCGTGGCCCTGGGAAGAAGACGGTCAGTGCAGAAAGGAGGTGCTGAGGGCTGCGGGAGCTCACAGGAGGGAGAGTGACTTTCAGTTGGAGCAAGGATGGACTCGGTCAGGGATGAGGTGGCTTTTCCGTGGGAGCCTGTCCCATGAGAGAGGTGCAGAATGAAGGTGCAAAGGAAAAAACGCAGGGATGTCCAGGGCACACTGAGGAGCTCAGTTTGGCTTGAGTATAAAATAGCCATCAAGGAGCTTGGGGCAGAGCTTGGAAAGCAGGCTGAGGCTAACACCAGAACATGTGTGTGCATGGGTGGCAGGTGTGCCGGGCAGCAGGGTGCAGAGGTTCACCTGTAGGAGACTCAGAGGCTTGGGGGCTGCTGGGCACTCCAACCAGGAGTGGTAAGGCCAGAGCCACCGTTTCGAAAGGTCTACCCGCCAGCAGGAAAGACCCACCTGGGAGACGTGAGGAGAAGCGCTCCCAGAAGTCTCGGGAGAAGGAGGAAGGACCTGAGTGAGGTGGAGGGTGGATGGGCACCTCCACGCAGGCTGTGGGAGGTCGGGAGAGATGGGAGGCCTGGGAAGAGGCCCCGGGCTCCGTCTCCAGGAGCCCCAGGGCCGTCGGGGGCAGGCAGGGCCTGGGCTGGCCCTCAGGCCTGGGGACACCGGGAAGAGCTGAACAGGTACTCACTCTCTGTTCCCAGCACAGGAGGAAGAGAGCTCCTGGGCCTCCGGGCTTTCATCTCAGGGGCCTTGGCGCTCTCACTGGCGGGGGCATCTGGAACAGACAGGTGACAACAAACGTTAGTCGGCAGCTGCCCAAGGAAATGAACAGAGGAGGCATCTCAATAAAAATCCCACCCCAACCAAAGGACAGCCCCCTCCCCTTCCCCGGTCAGCTCCCAGGGCCTCGGTGCCTGCCCAGCAGGGCGCCTGCGCCTGGGCCCTCTTCCACAAGAGCACCAAAGAAGGAGTGTCACTGCCTGCTGCCCGGGGCCTTATAAATCAGGTGCAGAGTGCGGCCTCCTGGCAGGATGGATGGACAGGCTGTCCCGGGAGCTGGTGAATGCTTTCCTCTCCACAGCCGGCACCTGCTGCCAGACACCGCGTCACGTGAGCAGGGGGGACTCGGCGCCCTCGGCTCACCTCTCCCATCCTTTCCCTCCACTGGGTCTTGACTCTCAGGGTAAACATTCTGGCTTCCAGAATCCTGCTCTATGTGGAGAGGATTCCTGTACAGAGGAAGGAGGGAACGGGTCCTGCCCTGGGGCTCACAGTCTGCAGAGGCCTTACAGCCTCTGATTTCTTGGCTTCCTTCCACAGATGGACACTGACAGTCAAACCTCCAAACCAGACCCAGACCTCCGAACAGGCGGCCAGCATGCCTCCCCCGCTCTGGCCTGAGCCTTGAGCCACGGAGGACCCACTGGGCGGTGGCAGCGGCCTTCCGGGCGGAGCGGAAATGCTGCATGGTGCGTGCACAAATCCTCAGGCCTCTCCGCATGCTCCCTCTCCCATGGGTGCACAGTGTGGGTGATGCCAGGGAAACCCTGGTCAGGGCAGCAGGACATCGTGCTGGGCTGGGCTGGGCATAAAAGCCCTCACTGGGCCCTGAGGAGACTGGACTTTAGGAAGTCGAGGGGAAACCGACCAGGGACTCAGATAAGCAGCAGCTGGCCCAACGGCTATCACTATGCTGCAGCGTTTTCCCCACTAGGAACGCTCTTCAGGGCCCGTGCTGCGAGGGAGCCTCCCCTCAGAGCCCCTTCCTGTCCATCCTTTTCCTGCTCCTGAAGAGAGGAAACGTGGAGGGAGAAAGGAGCAGGGGTGGGGGTGGGGGTGGGGGGAGGGGGGACTTTCCAGCTGAGGCAGCAGCCACATTCCTGT